GGCCGCTGCCGCGACGTTTTGGTACTCGTAAAATTGCGACGCTGCTGCCATCGCCGCTGCATGGGTCAACTGTGTCGCCGGAAGCGGTACCAAACCACCTGGCGCCGCAGCCGCCAGGTAAGGCGACTGGTACACGTAACCTGGTGGCACCCTGAAACCAAAATCATCCAACGGTTAGACAGTTCTACGGTCAACGATCACGCAACGGCACTCATACATCTAATACGAAGAATACTCGCTGGTTAATCATGGTGGACTAGGAAATTAACACTATAACACTGGCAACGAGCCGTTTAAAACGTTATACGGTTGTATACTGGATAGTTATAATAAAACGATTATAAGGTAGTCAGTTGATATTATTGGCGACTAAAATCATTTCACTTTTAGTACGATAGTAAATCCTATTTACGCAACGTTTCATTTGCAATTCTTGTTCTGTTTTTTAATATTTAAAAGATTCAAGGATTTGCTGAATATTTTTTATCGCTGTTTCCCCTTCTATATAGATTTTGTATGAAGTTCAAAGAAATTAATGTATTCATGACACTTAAGTGAAAATTATTCTTTTTATGTTGTGGAGATCTGTTTTGTGTCTTTGATTTGTGTAATTGACTTTCGTGAAATACCTTGTATTATTCTCATTATTTTTTATATCGTAACAAAACTATATGCGGTCAGAGTATCGCGTTTCTTAACTTCTAGTCTTAACTACTAGTCTTCCGTTTACTTAATTTGTACGAATTACTCCATCTGTTTGGTCCTTATACATGTTTTTCATAGATTTGAAGAAAAAGACTTCGTACTAGTATGGTATAATAATACTCATAAATATTTATGTGTATTAAATCAAAAAACGCAATCATCTTCTAGATGCAGAAGCCAATAATATCAACCCTTGGTACTGTGTGTTTGAACTTATATTAGAAAATAGTAAAGCAATTGCAATATGTTGGGTACATAGTAGCTAACGCTATAGCAATTGCTATAATTAACAAGCTGCAAGGTATTCCAAATATTTCTCATTTTAGCTTCAAACAATCATTTTTTCCTTGTGTTTAGTCCACCAGGATCATTTAGTCCTACGTAATCACACTTGCTGTTCGAAACAATCTATGGTCCATCGAGTTTCTTGATTCTATTATCATCTCTCTTACCTTTTCTAAGGTAATCAACCGAACTTGATGGACACCGGAAGCTTTAACAGTACATTTCTCCCTGTGCAGTTAAGAACTGGAGGAAAAGAGTGAAAGGAAGACAGTTGGAAACTTGCGCGTGTAGAACTATGTGTATAGTGAATGTTCCACGCAAGCGATGTTCTGCGTGCAGCTAAGTAAAGCGCGAATACAATCTCGTACTTTACCCCTCCCTCAATTAAGATAAACGGTTTATTGGAAAAGCGTTTGGTAATAGCTAACTTTCTCCAACAGATAACACGACGATCGCTAATGGACTCGGACTTGACATTATGTGACTACGCGTTCGTATTTGTATTTCATGGCTCCCGACGCCATAGCTGTGCCAGGAAATCGTCGAAAATACTATCAAGAAAGAAACGAACTTTTACGTGAATTCCACTTTGAGAGGATTAATGGTCGTAAAGTTTTTCCTGTAAAAACATGTGTCACTGTATTAATAATCAATTCTGTGTTATCTGAAACCGTACTTTGATATAACATTTGATAATCGAATCTGAGTATTATCCGCGTTTTATGCCATCATTTCAATGTTACTTTCACGTGTATACCACTGCAAACGATATATTACTCGATAAAAACGCGAATGTAAATGTGTAGTGTTCGTGTAGGAATTATTCGATGCGTGAGTAAAGGACAAGGGAGGGCAGGTGGACGGAAAGCGGCGCGTTATGAGAATGGTAACAGTGTGGTATCACTAAGGCGTGACAAAAAAAATGCGCAACAAATCCAATAAAATAAAAAAAAAAATCCTCAATGTGTCGGCAAAACAACAACAAACCAACGACAAACGTGTGTGTAGGTCATTTCACGAATATAAAGATACTTCTCGATACACGGCACACGATTACCTAACACCAACGTTAGTATACCTAAAATTCACAGGCGTAAGAAAGAAACAGAAAAGTGATACGTTCCACGGCAGTGCCTCTGTCTCTATCTCTTTTCCCTCTTTTTCTTTTTCAACGCGAAACGATCGCGTGTAAAAACTTGCCGCCCCGTCACGATTCTCCTTAGCGCGTTCTTCAATTTATCGTGACACGATCATTTTCTTTTAACCAACGACCCTTCAAACTCAATTATCTTTCTGCAAATTCTTACCGATAATTGATCGTTTAGCTGTATGAAACTAAAAACCGGTATCGAAATTAATTCGTTGCCTTCAGCTGTAATTAATAATTATATAAATATTAAAATATGAAAGATGCGAAACTTACGTTTCAAGTGAAAGTTTTTTTGCTACATCTGTAGAATAATATTTTTTTTTTCATTTGTACCTATATTATAGTATTGTTAAACACGATATTTCACGTAATTATTAATACGTTGTTTGGTAACTGTTTCATACTTTTGCGTGTAATTTTTATAACAGACATGTAACCAGCAAATCGCGTTTTGAAAGGACATACATACAAACACAGGAGACAGCCCTGAACTTTTTCGCGGATCGATAATAGCTAGTGTCCAGTCCACGAAGGAAATCAATATGTTGTCCTGTGGCTTCGAACGATAGTTTGCTTCGTCGAATTAGTGCACATCAACATAGATTAATGAACGTCGAAAACGTTCTCAGTAGCGCGTATTTCTTACCCGTCGTCTCAAAATTGAGTTACTATTCTGATTCGCTACGAAATTCTGTATTTTTAATGAAGATAAAAGAATTAAAGAAACAAAATGAAACGATAAAACAATTATCTGACATCATTAATAAATCAATAAATCATGAACAAATTGATATTGATAAGTAGAACGATATTAATATAACTCGGTTAAAACGAACATTTTGTTAACCAGTGATTTGAGTTGAAACGATCGTTATATCGATACGTTAGATCGAATAACAAAAAATTAATTGTAATTTCAGTTATTGTCTGCTTCGATTAATTGCACGTTTTAAAAGATTACTTACGTGGGATATTAATAACATTATAGCAACGTTCGTATGAAAGAAAAAATGAAATATAGCAAAGAAATGACAAAAATAAGGCAAGTAGTATGGAATTACAAAAGTATCTCTGCATACCTATAATCTTTAATCAATTTATATGAAGAAATTTTCGTAATAACGTAAAAATATTCATCCTTATATATCACGTTCGTAAATACTGGATAAACTGTAATATACATTTATAACTGGTAAAATCCTTAAGTAATAGTTATCATAAATTAGAAACATTTATAAAACGAGTCTACATAGTGTTGGCAAAACGAAGATGAAATCAGGAAAATATCATAAAACATAACTTACAGAATAAATGAAGATGATAGAGGTAAGATTGAAGCAAACGTTTTAACATTTTAATTTACGCAAATAATCGTCGATCTATTAAACGCGATGTTGATGTAAATGCCACGCGATCGAGCTTAGGTTTACAATGCTTTATTATTGTCACACTGAATGCATAAAAAGACATCACCTGCTATATTTTTTTGCCGAACTGATCGTCTAAGAGATTGGTATATCGGCGATCGTCGTAAAAATATTACACTTGGCTTGTTACCAGATGGCCACCAGATGCTTTCTCGAGGTACTTGCAGCCAATTTCTCGATTCTGACAATTTCCCCCGGCGAGAACTCCACGCCAAGTTTACGGAAATTAATAGGTTATTTCGAATCAAGTTTATTTCCATGCTTGAATATTTCTGTTTAACTGCGAATGACGACAAAGTAATCTGATTTACAAACAAGAATTTTGCAAATAAGAATTTTTGCTTCAGTGGATATTTGTTACCGAAGTCTATTCCTGATGACATTATATATGTACATACACAAACATAGAAACTCCGAGAAAGTACATACTTATTATCGTCTTAACCTCTTAAGCCCCACTTTCGTAATATTACGTTTGTTGCGTACAATCTTAAAATTCTACTTCCGTAATATCGCATTCGATAAAAATCGTAATATTACGTAAAGCGTTTCTTTTCCACACACTTTTCTAAAACTCAGTGAGCCCTTAAGGGAATAAATTATTTGAAAATCCGTTACATCATGTAAAATAACAAGGCGAATCTATTTGTTAATATGTAATACGATTAAAAATTGATATTACAGTAAGTAATATTATATACTAATATTTTTAAATATATTAAAGAATTTTCTCATTTCCCTATTTATTTATTCATTCTATTTTAGACTTGATCCCTGTGCTTTACTACTTCAACAAACTTAAAAATTATTCAAAATAGTACATTCAGTCATTTCTTACACGAATTTTTTATACTACATCGTCGTTAAATTTTTCATTTTTACGTCAATCTCAACCATATTTATTAAAAACTTACGTAACTGAAATGCAATATTGAATATCTGCATTGCACGATTCTCAGTCCAGACCTTGGACAACTTAATAAATTCACGAAATCGCCTCATCAACTTTTGTATGATCTTTTTTTTTTCCTCCATTTTCTATTGGATTTATCTTGCTGACGCATCTTCACCGCGGTCTGTGCATTATGGATGGCTCGCGTGTCCTCAACCCCGCATTTTCTACTCTGCGTGTTTTTATTTTACCCCCTCTATCTTCATTTCTCTATATATTGTTCTACCCAACGTGTACATATATCTTCCTAGTTGTCAATACCTTCTAATGCTAATATCACTTTAGACAACTGACAATCGCGCACAACACATTCTAGTTAACCGAGTTGGCATTGGAAACCAGTGAACCTTTTTCGATCATTCTAACGTAAATTTTAATTACGAAATTGAATTTTTGGTATGAACATATTTGATATTTACGTAGCAGAGATTCAAGATCGTACTCAGATTTTGCATCACAATTCACATATCTAAATCGAATCGATTTATCTATGCTTGTTGTTAATTATCGTCTCCATGGGAAAGTGTACACAAACTAAACAAAGTTTTTTGTTGCAAATTTTCGAAATTTTCTTTATGAATATTCTTTATTAATTCAATTATCCATGTAATGAAAATTATTCTTCAGAAAGT